TGCCTATAGATTTGATCATTATTTCATCTAGCTTATTCAAATTATCATTCATCTCTTTTAAGAATTTTTAGGATTGTCATAACATCGTCAAGCAAAGAGACTTTAGAGTTTTCAAACAAATGAAGTGAATTAAGAAACATTCAGACGATTGCCACAACAGTTCTTGTCTAATTGTTCTTGACCAGTACAAACAGATAAACAATTAAATCTTGTCGATGCAGTGCAAGTAAATTTCATTAGTACTTATGCCGTGAGAATACGGAATCTCAAAAGAGCTGTATTTCCATAACGAAATGCAATCGAACTATCATAAGAGTTTGGGATAATATGAATAAATACCCTTACAGCTCTTTAGGTATCCCATTATTGAGGAGAGAATCTGAATTAATCTCCTCTCTTCCCATACTGCTATCCCCTTCTATTCATCTTATTTAGAGCGATCTGCTAGCTTTGGAGCTAATAACCAATAATTATAGTAATCTATTTACTCATTCATGCTTACATTTTTGTTTTCACCTGCTGGAGGAAAAATATGCTTCGACGTCAGTCACTAATTCACTGAATTCTTCCCCTTACTCAAATTCAGATATCTGCTAAATTGGATTTCTTTAAATATGTAAGATACATTGTTACTCAGTTAGTTTTTCAACTTTACATTCAAAATTGAAGTAATGAAGTGTATTTATGTTGTCGTTTTCAAAATAACTGTGTTTTATGTGTAGTAATTGAAAATTTAATTTTAGAATCAATTTGTGTAAGACTACCAATGAGCATATGATATCGATTATGGTACTGAGGTTATCTTCAGTTAAGAAAAATATTTATCAAGCAATTAAGACGTCGAAAATCTCCAAATTATATATAAAATGAATCAGCTTTTTAAGTGTTAGATTTAGAGCTAGAGTAAAACAGGTTCCTTCTCCACAAAGCATTTTAGGAACTTTCAGCATTTTTAACTTTGATAGTTACATTTTCAGACATTATGTATATTTTGAAAATTGCTGTAAATTTGCAACAAAGTTTTAGAAGCGAAACTTGAAGGGTATTTGGCATTTTTGCAATAGCTAATTAAACATCAAAAATTTTAAGATATCTTTAGGGACTGGTTTTGTGTGAGGTTTGTTAATGCTATGCTATCGGATATGTGCTACTATTACTGCAGGCAAAAACAGAGTGAAACAGATGCTTTCTGAAGAAGCTGATTATTGCTCTCTGTGATGTTGCTCTGTTTGTGTGCTTTGGTACATTCACAGCTGATACAGTTAGCTCGTAAGTTTCATTTCATTTTTTTCCAATTCCATTTTTATTATCCTCTAAATGATTGTCATAAAAATGATTAATTTAAATGAATGGATAGCAAAGTGATGCATTAATTTGTATGCATTTTTTGTGTGCATCTTGACCCTCTACTTGGTGTAGTTCAATTGTTAATCGAGAACTGAAGTCGGCTGAGGACGATTATATAATTAAAGGAAAAAACTTCACCAGTTCAACCATCAATTAATTATAAACGACTAATTCGGATGAGATGTCAGATTATTGAGTTTCTGTTTAAAAAATATTTCTGTTAAAGTGGAATTTCACCTTTGTTTTATATCTTGATTTATATAACACTTCATCATTTTAATGTCATCATAATGTTGCCTTTTTTCTTCTGGGGACTTATAAAGGTTTCTCAAAGCCTGAGGGGGGAGGGGGACGTCGGATCGTCTAATTTCTGGTAAATTTCAAAGATGAAATCGATGTAACTATCATGAAAGGCATTCATAAATACATCAAAAATTCGTTTAACATCATCATACTTGATTGCAAATGTAATCCACATTTATTGATTTAGAACTTCATGTGGGATAGAAAAAGGAAAAGGAAAATGAAGTTTACCCTTGGAAAAAGTTCAGCTCATTATCTACTTCTACTATAACATAAATGTTCGATGATTTCGGAAAATCATGATTTCGAAAAATCCACTCACAATTTTGTCAAAACGATGAAGCCGGGCAATTCACTTGAAACCAATCCTTTCTGTAGAACTGCAAAAAATTTCTGAATTATAATTACCCCAAAACTCTTTATACAGCTTAAAATAAAACTGAATGAAAAAATTTCTTACGACAAATTGAAAAGAAAAAGTGGTATAAATGATACTAACTTCAAGGGATACGCACTTCTGGATGAGTGCTTCCATTCATCATCACTCTCCAATTTTTCTTTCTCACGTCTTAACTGATGGATGTATTTCTCCCTTTTTTTTTTTTTGCTTATCTCGCAAAAATCTCCTCTTTCTTAATTGCGGTTGTGGTTAATGGATATGTTCATTTTTTCGAAAAGGATCGAGAAACATTTATTTTCTCTCTCTCTCTCAAAAAAAAAAGAATTTCTCTTTTTCTGAACATCAGCTTTATAAAGACATGATTATGTGATAATTCTGATAATTTTGATGCAGTTGCTACTACATTAAACCACATTTCATGCATCTGGTAGTTACTGATTTCGAAAAATTTCATATTCTTTGAATCCGAAAGTAGCCCATTAAAAAAAAAATCCTCCTATCCTACGTGTTTTCTCAAAAAATTGCACAAAAAATTTTGCTGTGACTATTAGAAGATATACGTTGACTGATTCTAAAGTTTATAAATCTCTTGAACCTTTCCGCTCGCATCTTTCTTAGTAATCAAAATAGCACGTGAGAGTTTTCTGTTTTAGTTCCTTCAATTTTTGAAAAATACGAAAATTTCAGAATTTACTGACTACCAACGGACATTATTTAGCACTGTGAGGAGTTGTCAAGTAAGAGGCACTTATTTATTTAACCTAATTGAGCTTTTTATGACTATTCTCAAAAAAAAATTTAATCATTTTCTCATTCCCTTTTAAAATTAACATATTCATCAGCCATCAGTCACTGTTAAAAAAAAGAAACATCTTGTCCAAAAGAAAAGAAAACGAAAAAGAAGGAGAAAGGGGAGAATATAAATGAAGGAAATACTGCTGATATTTTCTTAGTGTCTGTTCACTTATTTGCTTTCAACTTTTTTAATATTTAGCCTGAAATTGTTGAACCAAAAATAACTAAAGGTTTTAGATTCTATAATGTCTTTCTGATACCATCCAGTAATTCTGCAACAAATTTTGCAGAAAAATTAAACGAAAGCTTCAAATTCTAATACTTTTGGAAACAATTCATTAGGAAGGAACATTTTGTACAGTGCTCTTTTCTCCTCACTTTTTTTTTCTGATACAGAAAAATGATGGAAATCATTATCAGTTTTTAAATATTAATTTTCTCCAAAAAATTTGGTCAGGATTTTTTGTCAAAATTTTTTTGCTAAATCAACATAATTGAGTATTTTCACTCAATTTTGCATTTTTCCTTTTAAAGCAGAATTGTAATTTACCAAATAATTTGCAGACAAAAGAATCTGAGTAGTCGGAAAGAAAACTGGATCATTTCAAATTAAAGAATAAAAACAATTTTATTTTGTGTCTGCACGAAAAAAATGGATGTGTTTACTGCTTTGCTTTTTCTTTCCCAAAAAAAGAAATTGATGGAGGCCAAAGATTTATATCAGTAACAATTTCATTAAGATATATTTATTTCAAAAACAAAATTTTCATATTTGTTTAATATGACAGATTTTATTTATACCGTAAGGTGTTTCTTTTATAGAAAGTACTGTTAGATGCTTTTGTGACAAGCAGAACTGTGAGGATTCGTTGATTTGTACTGGCGAGTTGTGCTTGATTGGATTCCGCACTGAGGGTATCGTTATTTCGACTCTTCTTTTGATTCTTTTTTTTATTTCGACTCTTCTTTTGATGAAAAGTATCAATTTCATAAAATCTTATGGTACTCATTGTTTTGTAATATTGAATTGAATTCTCAGTCTTCCGTAGATAGCCAAGCACATATGGAACAGCTATGTACCAATGCGGGTGATGCAAAAGATCTGGCAAAATGTCAGCACAACTGGAATGGATGGCAAGAGGTTAAGAAACATTTTCGTCTATCAAGTCAGTGTGACCTTAGACTAGTATAACTTGGAATAGGTGTGTGTTAATTGGAAAATCTGCTGGGAAAGATAAGCTCATAGCATTCCAAGTACTGAAAGTACCTTAAATAAACTGTCCAACTTCCTATTATTTTCAGGTTTGCGCTTGCGAAGAAGATTTTTGCAATACGTTTGCGTATTTACGCGGTTCCATTGAGGAAGAAACCACTAATACTGTGGGTAATTCACAACCGTTAAATTTAAATGAGGTAAGGAGAAGGGAAGAACTTCTAAACAGCTAATTAAAGTGATTTGATACCGGTTGATACCGGTATCAAATCACTTTAATTATCTGTTTAGAAAAAAAAAAGTTTACAAAATAAGATACCGATGCTACAAAACAAAATTTTTGTCTATTACGTGGGCTCGATTTTGCCGATTTTTCAATTACTCATCTTACAGAGTTTATAACACACCTCGCTATCTTTTACCAATAAAATAAAAAGGTTAAGCATTTTTAGGAAGAATCATCGATAGGTTCGATAGGGAGGCATCATGGCAGTAATTTGGTTATTCTGCTGGTGATTATCCCGTTGTCAGTTGGCGCTCTGGCTGTGTGCCTTATTTTTATCAACTATCACTGCAAGATGTGTTGATAATTACTCTCACTGTGCATAATTTTGCAGCAGATACAACTTACATTCGACAAGATGAAATTATCATTGCATGTTCTATGAGATCAGAATGCTGGGACTGTTCGATCACCATGATGTCCATCACAATCATCAGAGCGTTGATTTGATATTTCTTCATCGTTCCGAACTATATGTAACCGATTAACACATGCAATGTTTTCAATGTCCTTGTTTTACTTTGTTGGCATTAGCCACTGTTACTCTCGAATTTTGATAAAGTTTCAGGTGGAATTCTTTGGAACTCTCTGACTCTGATTAAAATGAGATTTCAAAAAATTTTTGAAACTACAACGTTTTCAAGTGTCACTGGTCGTAATGTTGCTTTGAGGGTTGATGTTTGGATAAGAACTCGTTTAAACTCATTCAGTTCACTTCATACAACAGATCTTCAAAACTTATCGAAATTCACCATGTAATATTCTGAACAAGTGGCACGATATGCTTGGATTCCATTTCTGAGGTCACTAAACTAAACCTAACATGGATTTTTTTTTGTCATATTACATCGGGATGGCATTTTTTGACTAACAGAAGAGTAGATTCATAATGGCTTGATATTATAGCTTAGTAAATAATTACCATCCGAAATATTATAGAAGGTAATGATGTGGTTATTTGAATAAACTCCATGAAAATGAGGCTATTTAACATTGGATACATTCAGATAGTATTCTTCTGACCTGTGTTTTGACCAAAAATGTTCCAAATTCAGTAGCGATCTCACTTACAACAATAAAATCATTTGGCAATTCAATGCATTATTAGCTTTTTCTCATTTTTGATCAGACTAAAATTCGAGATTTCATAGAATTCCTAAATACTGTTGGCTATTTCAACTTTTTCTGTTGTTGTCGTAAGTTTTTCGAAATCCAATCCATTCCGTCCTGTAAACAACAAATAAATTCATGGGATGGATACAGGCAGTAATAAATGTTACCTATTTATTTCATGAATGGCATAAAGATATCATTTAAGAGAAAAGCCCAATACTTTCTTAACAGTTAAACCCTCTGTGTGGCATTCTATAAATCTTAATTCCTTCGCAGAAATCTCAATCTCGAATTTTCCGAGATCAACAACTCAATGAGTTCTGATCTCATATCTGCGAAGGAATTTTCAAAATCTGATGATTTTTGTGACGTTTTAAAAAAGAATTTCAAGAATGAAAAATAAGTTAAACCTCAATGAATTTCTTGCATTTCTATGGTAAAAATTTTGTTTTAGATGAAAATGACAGATACCTTGATACCTTCACCAGTAACAGCAGAACATGCTTGAATCTGCCAAGATCGGTCACGGATTGATAACAGCTGTAAACCCTCCGCTATTTCATTTGCTCTAGCTGCTGTCACCAAATCCTTTAAATTTAAAGAATTATAAAAGAAGGAAGCTTCTAAAGAAAAGAATGTTTTCAACAATTGAATTAAAATATTATATTTATAGCTTATAGGGACGGCAACAAAATAACACCATAAAGGCGAACCGTTTGCATAATTTGCATTAAATAAAGGATTTGTAAAAAATTGATCAGAAATTACAACACAACTAAATTGTTTGTTGAATGTGGGATTTTCAAGAAAGTTGACAGAAAATGTAGTTCAGTTTACCTGTTTATTAGCATAAACCAATAATGGGACATTTTTCAGTTTCTCTTCGTCCAAAAGTTCAAAGAGTTCCTGCAATACAATAATGAAAGTCTATTCAAATCTCTTTATTTATTAATACCACTAAGAAATTTTTGTAAGCTTGATTGCTTTTACTAAGAAATTCTTCAAAATCCCATAACTCTGGAAAAAAAAAACTTGTTGGAAATTTCAGAAACCCCCTCAAAACTATCCTTTAAAGCACAATTTTTATAACAAGCTATAGTGCCAATGTGCCAAACAATGTCGCCTGCACTGGTATCATCACTAAAGACATTTATAGACCATATATTCTGTACTATGATGTTATACTTATACTTATGATGTTATACTTCACAAATACATGATAATGTATTATTATTACTAATTTATTATTATTATTATTATCATTC